TAAACGCCCCCCGATTTAACTAGATCCACGAGATTGGCTAATGAAACCGAAATAGATTGGATCTATTTAATTTTAATTCTATCGAGTATTTTTGTATTAATTACATTATCAGTAGTTGTGTTTTTTCATAAACTGTACCATTACTTTCGATTGATTATCAAGTTCTACAATTTCTCAAAATCACTTCATTACGTTATTGCATGTATATGCGTATAAACCCGTACCCGTCTAAACGAACAATAAATTAATAAGTAACAACATTTAAGCTATCGCGTTTTACTGCAGGGACATTAAGGAAACATCCGCCGCCGATCACACGGATCGGAGAAGCCGCGAAATACTATCGGGTAACCGGCGGCGAAACTTCGGTAATCGGAAAGGGCACGAAACTCATGATTCCGTCGCGCTTTCTGCACAACGGATTACGGATATTTTCCGGATCCGGAGACGTTCAATCCCGAACGGTTTGCACCGGAATAAAAGCCCAAAAGGCCCAACGGTACACATTCGCCTTTTGAAGATGGACCTCGCTTGTGCGCAGGCAATATTATTACTCCGAATATTACCGAATAGTAGGCGCCGATACGGTTTACTGCAGTAGACGTCGTGTTATTGTTCGGGGCAGACGTTAACGCGTCCTAAAAACTCGCGCAAAATGTATGCGTGAATATACCAAATTTTAAGTCCTTAAATCAACAATACCTTGGAAATGTTCACGAATTACGAAATCGTTGAAATATTTTCTGAAAATCTTAAATATCTAGTATACAAATGAATTATTTAAGCGCGAGAATTGTTTGAACACTTTGCGGTGTTAACTGGTAAGCTTCTGAACATCTGCCCCACGTACAAACATCAAAACATTTTCCGAGATTCTCTCTCTAGTTGAGTTGAAAATGTTCTATAAATCCACAATTTTTTTTTTCAATTGTTCCCCGGAAAACCTAAATACCCATAAATTATGGGGTAAAACTCAATTTTGTATATTGATAAGAAATTCGCCTACACACATCGGTCTAAAACACCACGGTCGACATTATTAACGATTCCGGCTCATTTATAATCTACACGGGTTTTATTTTGAAATTTGAGGCATTAAAAATTAAAGTTACCCCGTGATTTTTGTTAGAATCGATAAAACAAACGGTAAAGACGCCATAACCAATAATTTTGTATCTGGTTTACCTATTCGAATATGTAATTGAGTAAAAAATTATTCTGAATACGTATTCGATGAGTTTAAAAAAAATAGAATATTTAGAATAATTCAAAAAGTATTTTGTATACATTTGAATATTTATTTTTTTTCGGCTAATATAATACGTCAGTTTCCGCCGGACAGTTTGGAAATTACCGTTTTCTGACTCAATATTATCTTATTAAATAAACCGACCGACCAGTGTACCTCCGATCAAATAGTATATGTCGTTTATAGACCAATTCATAAACTTCGATTAAAACTAAACGCTAAAGACTTTTTTCGCGATTTATTACGTGGCCGTAAAAAAAAACTACGATTTAAGATTTAGATTACAAATCCAAAATCATCAGATTTCGTCTCGGAAGACAAGTGTGTTTTTAGAAAACGAAACGTACAAAAAGAAAAAAGCGTTCAAATAGTTTTAATAATACCGGACCGTTTAGCCGCAAACCCGAACCGGTTCAGTCTGACAATAATTTCTGACAGTCGAATCGTATTTCGAATGGAAACTAGTTCAAGTTGGCGAATCGTCATGGGTTTTGCGATTTCACAATTTCGCATAAACGAAGTAGTTGTTTTCATGACCGACCGATATTATAGGAATGCGCGGACGCGTCAAAAAAATATCCGCCCGGATCATTAATTTACGAGTGGTTTTTTTGTTTTTTTTTTTTTTTTTTTTTTGTTTACATTTGCAAGAAAACGTTTCGAGAAAACCGACATCCGGGCGCGATACAATACGAAATCGGTACTCGTTTTACCGGAAAACGGTGTTTGGTTGAGATTCAAGACAATATATATGGCCCTGCGAAAAACGGCAAAACAATAAATCAATAAACACGTGACGTTCCGGGTGAACGGGATTAGTGTATTAGTAATTTTTGTTATTTTGTTTGTTTTTTTTTTTTTTTTTTTTTCTATCAACCCGTGAGTAGGGTCTTCAAATATTCTCGATTCCGAACCGCTGCTCGCATTTTCTGTACGTTTCTTAGGCGTTCCCGAGACGTCTTGCGGTTCTCTCCTCATGTATTATATCGCCACACCCGGAGCAACATACCCGGTATTTAAATGGAAATTTTCGAACATTTTTCTAGTAATTTCGAAAACGCGATACTACTACGAAAACGACGGCGTGATGTCGCGAGTAAAACAACATCACAGAGTAACGATACCATGAAGTATTTGATATCGTTAACGCACCCACTTAATTATTTTGCGCGATTCTGCGATACCTACTTATGAAATTGTTTTCCGTGCCGTAAATAAACATTTGGTTAACCGGTATGAACCGTTACCGGAAACGAATTTTACGATTAGTTCATCATGTATCGCGAAACCCCTCGCCTTCCCTCCTCCGCCCCTCTTTTCGGAAATAATTATACGAAGTACCGATGTACGCACGGTGTTAGATTATTCGCTTTATCATTTTTAATGAACGTCTGTGTAAGCGGTTATCGTATTATACATAGTTCGATCAATACCGCACCTGTTTACTATTCAATACTCGTTATCAACTGTATTATCGACGATATCTGTTGTGAAATAAGGCCATCAAGAATAATCTGTTCGCCCGTTTTTTTTTTTTTTTTTCATTCGAATGTGTATTATTATCATTTTTGTTCATTACGCGACTAGTCCAGATTACAATGCATACACTCAGTGGCTATACACGATAAAATCTAACACAACGAATATATACGCATAAAATAACGAAATGCGATGAAAGTTGATTAAAACGGTAAACCAAAAGACGGGTCGGCATTAGCGCGCATACCGCTAATACCGCTAACGGAACAAATAATCGGAGAATAGAGTGGGTAATTGGACGAAGATAAAGGGATATGGAACGGGACCCGCGGACGCGCACGACGGCGGGGAACATCGATGGCGACGCGGGACAGGAGCACGGGGTAATCAATTCTAGACGGAAAGTAGGTCATATTGGAAATAGACGCATGCAGAGTGCCGACGGTCGGAGAGACCGCGCGTAGATAAAAATCGTTGGACGGGGGGTATAATCACGGAGGGAAAGGGTATATGCAGTTTAAAGGCAGCGTGGCGAAGGAATTTTCTTTGGACCGTTTCCGTCGTGTAACGGTAGGCAACGGTGGAAGGGTCCCGGAGCACAGAGGCATATTCGAGAATGGGACACACCAGGGAACGAAAAATGAGCTTTTACAGGAGCGACCGGAGAAAATGCCGTATTATATCACGTATACGATATAATTATTTAATAATAAAATCCGACCAATTCAATTGTATACGACCAGCTGTGCTGAAACTCCTTTCGCTGCGTGCACTCGAAACGGGTGGACAAAGGTCGGCCCGTTATGAAATTAAGACCCCGGCCAAGTCCGTTACGGCACGGTCCGGACTTTTCGATGACCAGACCGAGCCGGTCCGACACTCGCAAGTCACTATGGTGCCTACATCGAATTCTACAGAAAAAAAAAAAAAAAAAAATAGCGTAAAAAATCCGCGCGAAATGCACGAACGCCGACGGGAACGTTAACGTCGGCACGTTGCTGCGCGGTTCGGCCGTTGAACGATTCGCATCGGTAGTTTTCAATCCGTCGAGACCCGCCGCGTTGCACCGGGCCGCCGGGACGTCGGGGAGAGCGCCCGCGGGCCCGTTGGTACGCGCCGCCTTAGTGGGCTACTCGTACGAATCGCGGCCGCTGCTTGTTAGACACTCCGAACGGTTTTCAACCGGCGGGTATTGGACCGACCAGGCAACATCGGTGGCCGAACGAACGGGACGTGTCGACGGGACGTCCGGTAAAACTATTTATTTCCCGTGTTACCCGCGTACAATATGTCCCGGTCTCGAGGGCCCTCTCACCCCCACCCCCTCACACCCTCGATACCGATCGGTTTCCGGCACGGTATCGGCCGTTGAACGATCGTACGGTATTATATTGACAGATTGGACATTTTCGGATTTTTTTTTATTGACGCGCTGTCCGTACAACACGGTCGCTATAACGTTTCGCCGGCGTTACATTTCGACGGGAAACTGATTCGAGCAGTGGAATTTCCCAATAATCGTTCCCGAGTCGCGATTTCGCGTAAACTAATAGTTTTTTTTATTTTTTTTTTTTAGTCGGCCGACCAAAAGTAAAATACGCAGATGTGTCGCATAAATGCGGATTATTATTTTACGAGTGTTTTTTTTTTTATTGTCGTTATTATTATTTCTTTTTAAACTGTTCCGGGGAAACGTTTCGCCGAAATGGAAACGAAATTGGCGCTGACTGAACTGCTGACGAAATACGAAATGGAACTTTGCGAGAAAACCGACATCCCGACGCGGTACAGCAATCGAAATCGATAATAATTTTACCGGAAAACGGCATTTGACTGAGATTCAAGCCAATATAGCGCCGTACAATCAACCGATGACCAGTGTGCGAAAACATCGGAATAATATCTATAATGAGATTATAAACTAACGGGTAGTCCCGGACGGGATTAGTATGGTAATTGTTATTGGCCGTTTTTTTTTATCAACCCGTAAGTTGGTCTACAACCCAATATTCTGGGTCCCGATCCACTGACCTTTTCTTTATGTTCCTCAAAGTTTCTGACCACAATAGCATTTTTAATTTTCCCTATACATATAAGACGTCCCGGGACGTCCTTCGGTTTACTTTTCTTTCCATCATACTATCGTACCCGAACCTGTAAACATATTCAAATTTTAAACGTATTTGAATACAAACACGAGAACGACCGTATGATGTCGTGTTTAAAATACTTTTTGAAACTATTTTTTTTTTTCAACCTATATAAGGTTGGTTTACAACGTTTTTAACTTCGCTCTCCACTTATCACGATCTTCAGCAAGTCTTTTTAATCCGGCGTATGTATCAAACCCTACGTCATTTTTCAGTTGAGATATGTACGAGTTTCTTGGTCTTCCTGATGGTTTCCGTCCTTCAATTGCACCTTCTATTATAGTATGATGCAATTCTTCGTCATGACGTAAAACGCGTCCCATCATGTCCCATCGTCGTCGCTTTATGGCTTTAATTAAGGATCTTGTTTCTCCAACTTGGGTCAATACATGTTCATTTGTTACTCTTTCTGTCCAATTCATTTTTTCCATTCGTCTCCAACACCACATTTCAGGGATCTTTTTTCCTTTTCATTAATAACCCATGTCTCGCAACCGTATACACATCGACACTCCATACAAACGTTTTTAAAAAAGTCTTTTTTTATTGCTCTGCTAATTTTTTTTCGAAACCAACATTTTCTTTTTCTTGATAAATGTTGTTTTTGCTCGCCCGATTCTTTGTTTAATTTCCTGTGAACTTCTTCCGTCTGATGTTATTAGACTTCCCGAGTATTTAAAACTAGAAACTTGGGAAACGAGTTGGTTTTCTAAATAAATATTTACGTTGATTGTGGGTTCACGAGCGCAAACTAAAATTTTTGTTTTACTTGAATTTACACGCATTCGATACTTATTTATAATTATTTGCATTTCTTCCAGAGCTGTCTGAAGGCCGTGCTCTGTTCCTGCTAGTATTACGATGTCGTCTGCAAACCGGATCATCGGAATTGGCGTACGTTATTATTTTAGAATAAAATACGCACAGGTAACGCGTTACGCGGTGCGTTTTCGAATCGATACGAGCTCGGCAATTAACGGCGCGAAACAACAGCGTGCCGGGCGATATCGCGGCCGCGGAAGCTGTAGCGCGCTGATAACAATAACGATTATAATTACTGTTAACGTTGACCGGATCACAACGGATATTGCGACAATAACGTATTTATTACGTGACCGCAAACCAGGTATTACGTCCTGTTATCAATAGTGTCATCGGTCGTCTATTGTTGCGTAGGAACCCCGTGTCCCGTCTCGTGTAGTACGTCTACGCGATTCGTCCGTTATCGTTCGACCCATCCCACACCCCATTCGACGCCCGTGTTTCTGTTATTCCGCAGACACCCGTCGAACGCCGCCGCGTTCCGGAATCGAAAAATAAAACGGAACCGATACTGAGGACGGGCGCGGCCACTGTTTCAGGGTGAGCAGTTGGGAATGTGGGATACACAAAGTTATTTAGTTTATACGCCCGAAGTTTATTTTACACGTCGCGTACGTACATTTTCCCGAGTTTTTTCCCGGTTTTTCACAATTATCGTGAAAACCGCTTAAAAAAAAAAAAATTCAAAAACGATTGGCTTACAGCACCACCCCGATAACATTTCGTTTCGGAAAACGTACGATGCTTGTAAAAATCAGGGCAAGACTTTCACAATGAAAGTTTTTCGCGGGAAAAAAATACAAAATAAACATAATTTTGATTTCAATACATTCCACGCTAGGCTCCGAATCTAAAAAAAAAAAAAATACCATTAGAACAATATGCTGTTGAACTTCGGTTCACCGTCGTCGTCGGGACTGCAGGTGGGGTTAGACGAACAGACCTGCCAAACAGAGGCAATCGTAATTAATTCATTTTTCACGTACGTGTGTGTTAGAGAATATTGTGTACTAAAGATTAGGCTAACAAGTAAACGATAAACACGAAATTTATGTACAAATAATCCGTCGACGTCTTCAGTTTTTTCGCCGTGCGAGCAAGTAAGACACGCGTCGCAATACGCCCGCTCTATGCGCTTCAACGGTTTTTTTTTTTTTCTCGATGACAGATAACAGAGAGCGTCAGTTAACCGAGTTACTACGGTTCGTGTTGTACAATATGACACGGTTAACGTCGTCGTGTTCATATTTTTTGTGTTAAAAAAACCGATTTTGCGCTGTTAGTACAGTTTTATTAGCATATTTTCAACCGTAAAATGGAATAACACTGTCTGTTTTTGTACGTGGGTTTTTTTTTTCGTCTCGATATTCGAATTTTCAACCGAGTTACGAATATGTGAAATAATACAGTTTAACAATCGTCGAGTCCGTCTTAGAAATTAAAATATCGAATAATCCAAAGTGCCGACGTAGTCAACGTCGTCGCTTTTAAGTTTGATGGTACGCCAATTTCACTCAATATTAAAACCAACAGCGCAAAATCGGTTTTTATGTTCGAAAAATATAAAACCTAATATAACGATTTTAACCGCAACGTAATATAGTATACAGACATGGAAAATCGTATTCGGAATATTTAAAAAAAAAAAGCTTTTTTCTTTTTTTTAGAAATATTCAGTACACTTCAGCCACATTGAATATTGCAATTGTGTTATTATATTTTCAATTGCATTCCGAATAGAATTAAAAAATTATTTAACACGATTCACGCACGAGTCTCGTTTATTATTCGGACAAATGAAATTCATTGAAAACCTCGATCAACATGCAATCGCTGATCAATGATAAAAAAAAAAAAAAAAAACCCCCTTTATAGACAGGACAGTACGGGTTTTTTTTTTTTTTTTTTTTTTTTAAACGGAGAAATTCTACTGTACAGGTTGTTCCACGAAGGTATACCCATTGCAATATTTCCGGATCCGGAGATAGTGAAGATAATCAAATTTTGTTGTTTCTTTTATTTTATACATTATTCACGGGGATATGAACTAAACATATTTATATTGCAATTTATTTTTATGTTTTTATAAAAAAAACTTAAGGAAAATAACTTTTTATTTACTTTTATTATTTTCGGAAAATTTGAAGATAACCATTTTATAGAGTTATTCTTATTGTTTTGAAAGTGTTAACGTTTCAACTTTTTATGCCCATTAAATTCGTGGTTATTAATAATTATTTTAAGCTCAGAAAAAAGTAATTATAATTATGCAGCAGGCTGTAATCGCATTCGCTAATTGATTATTGTTATTACGACTAATATTTGACTGTACACTTCTTTTCTCTGAACTTAAAATAATTATTAAAAACCACGGATTTAACAAAAATAAAAAGCTAGTACGTCTAATTTTCGGAAGAACACAAACTCAATAAAATGGCCATCTTCGAAATTTCTCAAAAATAACAAAATAAAAAATTAGTTACTGACGGGGATAATGACGTTGTAATGTTATCACGTTTTGAATATTATGATGTTTGATTATTTAATGGTTTTTAGAAAACCATGTTAAAATTAACATTTTTTTTTTTTGAAAAAACAGGTTTTATTATCTTATTTATTATTTCGGGAGATATTTCAACGGGTAAATTATCCTCGTGGGACATCCTGTATAGTAATATTTATATATATGTAAAAAAAAAAAATCAATTTTCCGATCAAAACAAAGACGACAGTTACACACGGACGGCCGCACTTGACGTCTGCACACCCCAGATGTCCTTTTGACTTTAATGCTCGTTCGTTGACTCGTTGACACGAGCCGCGGAACAACGTTCGACACTCGATTTCGGTTTGATTCCAAAGTCGAAATGCGTTTGACACAGAGGACGTACGGCTGCTGGCAAGCCATTACCGCCGCGACACCGGAATCACCGCGGCGCGGATTAATTCGAAAAACGCCGTGTGTAAAGATTTAAGCGACGGTGATAAAAACGGAAACTTAGTGTCGCGTGGAGATAGCGAGTGCGCGTGCGTATGCGCGGAAGATTTACGGGGCCGTCAGAAAGTACTTAATACTATGTGCCGTAGACGTCGGCGGCATACGTCGTCGACGTAAACCGAGAAAAAATGGCGAACGGCTCTCTGTCGAACGGGATTTCGGTATTGGGAAACGGCGACAAGCGAAGCGAACGGGATATAGGTATTAAAGAGTGCCGCGGGGTATTTTAATGTATAATACTCGTCGTGTACGTACGAATCGTATACAAAACGGACAGGAAAAAAAAAAAAACTACTTAAAATCCGATATATCTCCGACACGTAGTCAACGAATTGGCTCTTTTACTCGTCGCTTTTCCGGTGGTTTTTTTTGTTTTTTGTCTCCGCGATCACATTATAATATCGCGCGAGACTACCGCGGGGTTTTGCGCGTTAAAAATAAACTTGATATTACGTTTAAGGTTTTTTTTTTTAAAAGCTTATTAATTATTTATTGAGATTTTAAATTCAGCGAGCGTATAACGAGGAATGTATTGGCTTAACAGTGTTTTGTTTTTTTTTTTTTTTTTCTGAGCAACTTTTCCACCAGAAATATTGTTCCGACGTGTTAAGTGATAAGCTTTTTTTGAAAGGAAATTTTATCTACTTGGTACTTTATTAGAGGTAATTTTTATGGTTTTTCGAGTGGTTTCATTATAATGGGGGAAAAACCGTAGGAAAAAACGGGAAAATGTAAGTACACGAGGTACAAAAGATACTTCGCTCCGAATTGTTTTTTGTCAGCAATGGTTTATCGTTGCGTACAGATGTAAATTTCCCTGTATATTCTACGTTCCCCACTTCTCACCTTCAACAGTGACCCACCCGTTGTGCGAAGGATGTCCGCCTTTTTTAAAATTGTATTTCTTCACTTTTGCAGATTATATACAACGTGGCGTTTCCCGTTTGTTCGCGTATAGTGGTTACTGTTTTTTTTTTTTCAAGTATTTTCCCGTACACAGAAGAGAGTTAAACAAATATTTATGCGTTTATTTTATTTTTTTTATCATTATTATTACGGTAAGACGACACTCTTTAGCTCCGAATTAATCGGCCAAGCGAAAATCATTAACAAACTTTTTTTTTTCCTCTGTAGAATTATCAATAAAAACACTTTATTATCAAATGAACTTCATTTAAACAACTAATTAATACGATATTATCGTGATCGAAATAAAAAAAAAAAAACAAAAACATTTTATCCGGAATTCGTCCGTGAAAACGAACAATTTTTTACTTAATTATTATACCTCTGATACTCGAGTATACTCGCGTTTAATGATTAATAATATTTTAAACTGCCCAACTCGTAATTAATATTGTTAAGAAACTTACGAGAGCTAATTTGAAGTACATTGTTTCGTTATCGACTTTTCAACAGCTAAACTAAAGGAGAACAACTTGGAAATACGGTCTCATTGGTGTAACCAAAGAGCCCGGTTTTTTACGGACACAAAATTACCCGAATAGGGTTATGACGTTCGTATGTATGGAGTAAAAATTACCGAATATACGATAAAAAAAAAAAATTAAATAAACACATAATATTCACACAAAAAGCCTTTCAATGTAT